ATCATATGATACATGTCAGGGTCTTAATTTTTTAACTGTAAAGGGAGCAGAAGCAACATATTGTGAGGGAGAATGAGAAATGAAGTACTCTAGGTTGTTAAAATTAAAAAAAATAGATTTTTGACACCAGAGGCGAATGAACGTACTGGTCACCCTGGGCACAGACAGCTTTTCTTTATCTAGAAAGTGCTTCAAGCATGTGGGTCTATGCAAAGATGTTATATTGTTTTCCTGTAACTCTGCTACATGTACTGATTTTACAATTCGAAGGAAAAGGTGGTTAATTACCTACTAAAAAGAAGAAGAGGGGCTCTTTGGCTTGGAGGAAGAAGGGCAGACTTTGGGGACAGGCCAGGCTGTGTGGAGTGGTGGCTTTACCACTCTTTACTAGCTCTGTGAGGGAAGGCGCCAGAACTCTCTGAGCCTCAGCTTTCTCATCTCTACAATGGGAATGAAAACTGCCCAGCCTGGAGGACAGGTGTGAAGATTGGAGTTAACCCACAGAGCGCCTGGGAGCTATATCTGTTCCAGCAGCTGGTGCTCCTCGGCACCTTAGCCAGGTGCCCCAGAGCGTTCTATGAATTTGCCCACATGCTGCACGACGCTATGAGCTAGAGGCTATGATTCCCATACTCATTTTACAGACGAGGAAGTGGGGCTGGGAAGAGGCCCCATGGCTGGGACTTGGTGTGACTGGTAAATTCACGGTGTTGTAGTGGGAAGGAAGGAAGACATGGAAGGCTCTTATGTTCAGGATGAAGCCCCAGGCCTGCCAGGGCTCCGCTGCCTGGCTGGGCAGTGTGCCTGCCTCTATTTACCCTGTGGCCTCCGCATGGCCCAGGGTCCCCTCCCATCCCCCATTTCTGTGGGGGCTTTTGCAGCGATTCAGCAAGTCTTTAGGGCTAGCCAGGAGACTCTTGATTTTTAAGGATCAACTTCCTTAGAAGGGACAAAAACCAGTAAAGCTGTTTCAAGAAATATTCCTCCCTTCTGTGAGGGCAGAGTAGGGCCACTTCTTTTCAGAGTGTCAGATGGGACTTATGACATATAATCGGAAGAGCAGAGAAAGATCCCGTAGGCCCTAACACCTGTCCTGCCAACCCAGAAGCTCACGACCTGGCTGGACAAGCTTGCGTTTCCTTTGTCAGCAGAGTCCCCACTATCAATCCATTGACCAGATAAGTTCCTCCTCACCACGGGCCTCACAAGGGATGTGACGCAGGCCCAACGGGACCCAAAGGATGTGGGAGGTTGGGGGGAGGCCTGGGTGCAGGGCCAGCCTGGGGGTGCTGAGACCGGAGAGGCCAGGCTAGAAAGCTGTCATGCTGGGAAGGATCCTGAGGCAGCTTCACAGGACCAGCCTTCACCTGCCAGGTTCACTGTGTTTTCTGGATCTGCCACTTACATCATCTGAACCCGGGCCCTGTCTCCCACATGGATGTTGGTTTCTATGTGTAATGCAGCGTATGCCAACATTTTATGGGATCCCTGTTAATAGTGAGTAACCGTGTTTATGCTTAAACTAACTTGGGCTTGTAGTTTTTGACAGATTAAAAGTGGATAATAGATAAGACCATTGAAAAGACAGAGACATACAAGGTCATGAATTAACCTTATTACTTTCTTCAAAATACTGGCATTTTTTTATCAAGGCCATTTATGGGTTGGATGATAATTTAGATACTTTAGTGAAAAGGTTATAAATCATCTCATAATAACCAATTATTGTCAAAATGGCCAGGATATGGATTAGTATAAAATAACTCAAGCTGTTTCTTGTGAGGGAAATTTCAGTTGCAGACACTTACATATTATGTATAAAGAATATCTGTGCTTGATTCCAAGACACAAAGGCAGGGAAGTAGATAGGACCGCTAAGAGGTACCTGAGTGCCGTTGGTTTAAAGGTGAAGTAATCCAGCAGGAAAACATACTCATAAATATGTTCTCTCTAATTCCAAATGTAGGTGTTTCAGTTTGACAAAGTTGGAGCCCAGAAGATCCCAGTGACCCTGGAGAACCTCACAGGTTATGAACTCATGCAGCAGATCCAGAAGGGCACTTATCCTGAGGCTATTTTGCAGGTATCTGACTCATTGGTTCATCATTTCTTTTGCATTTTATTTCTAGTATATGTGCTGCCGAAGCGAGCACATTGCATTTTATTTCTAGAATCTTCTTGTCTTAAAGTCACAATAGTAGACAGGGAAGGAACCTAGTACAACTTCCCTCATTCATAGAAGGAAAACTAAGACTCAGAGCCCTTAAATAAATATCCTATGGGCACACAGATAAATATGGGCAGGGCCAGAATAGAATCTAGACTTCAGGACTTTTAGGTTAAAAACTGTTTCTAGATTTAATCATACCACTCTGTCATTAGTTGGGCATGTATAATTTATTCTGAAATCGTGGTAGCAACTCCTAGAATACACATGCATGGATGCAGATTTCTAGGTGGAAGAAGGTAAAGAGTGACAAGCAATTGAGGAATGGGGTAGGTCAGGCCCAATGACTTCATGAGAGACCACTGACCCTTAGATATCCCTCTCAACCCCTCTATTTATCTATTTATCACCTGTCCATGTATGTATGTATGTATGTACATATCTATTCATCATCTATCTATCTCAGGTACTAACTACTATCTTTTCTCAGTATTTCCTTAAACATCAGCTCTCCAGCTAACTTATTGGATCTGGACATAGATGTAATCCTATTGATGAGCAACTTCCATAATACGCTCGTGGGTTAGGTAGGGGGAGATCTCCCATAGCTTCCTTCTTAGAATGCAGCTCCATCTGCCCGTTGCCCAGGGAATTATGGGCTGGAGGAGGTACAGAGGGCCCCATCAAGGTGGCGATCCAGCCAGGTCTCCTGTGACACCTGGAAGTCCATCTGCAGGGCTCTGTCCTCGGCTTCACCCGCTGCTGGCTGTTGCGTGACCGAGCCCTGTGTCTGTCATCATGCTTACAAACTCCGGGCTGAGGATTGGAATTCACCTACATTTTTCATGGCTTTCTAAAACCCAGATTTCCCACCATACAGACTACCCTTTAATGGGCACTTTCAGACATATGTTAACTTTTTCTAGAATATTTCTTTGGTAAGGTTTTAATATAATAAAATCCCTTAGAGACCTTGAAGTTTAGGAAATTACAAAAGAAGCCTCACTTTCTTCTAGGACATTGGTTACTTCAAGGTTAAATACAATCTGTAGGTACAGCAAAATTTGAAACAAGTAAAACATTACCTTATGAGTTTAATGCACTAGATCAAAAGTATTTCCTCAGAGATTCCTCTAAAGTGTCAGAAAATTCTACGTGTGCATTAATACAGCATTTTATTGTTGCATTGAAAAAAATACATTTACTTACGAAGTATGTTGTTTAGCCGTCCTGTGTTACATAAAGAGATCCCTCCTTTCTGTTTAAGGCACAAGCTGGAGCTGCAATCCATTCATCCTTCCGCTCTCTCAGCTCTGCGATCAATGCATCCACAGGGGAGTATTTATTGGAGAGCGTCAATAAGCTGTTTGGGGAGAAGTCTTCGAGATTCAAGGAAGTAAGTGAAACCTGCAATTGAAATGGCAGGGCCCCCAGTGTGCAATGAGGTCACCTTCAAAGCTTCTGTCTGTGACTCACAAGGAGAGTCAGAATTCCACACCAGCTCCCTGAGGCTCCAAACGCCCTGGGTCACAGCTGCTGTTCCACATGATCCTGTGGTTGGGAGCTCCCTCTCACGGCTGCAGAGGCCCCGTGTGCAGAGTGACTGCTAAAGCTGGGGGATCAGTGATTTCCAGAAATGCTACCCACGAGCCAGCTTTCACCCCCTACTCAGTGTCTATAATGCACAGTGCAGGAGGGCAAATGAGTGTGGGCAAGGGGATCAACGGAGCACTTTTAATCCACACTATTTCCTCTTTCAGCCTCCCAGCCCCCCATAGCCACCCTCCACCCCTTCCCCTACCTCAGCCCCTTAACACCCCCACCCCAAGTCTTGACAAGAAGCCCATGATTTACAATTACACCAAGTCTTTTTCAGTATATATTCTGTGTCACCTTTGGCCCGTTTCTTGCTTTAAAGGAATATATGCAACTCTCCAAGAAATACTACTCTACTGAACCCCAGGCCGTCGACTTCCTAGAATGTGCTGAAGAAACCAGAAAAAAGATTAATTCCTGGGTCAAGACTCAAACCAAAGGTAAAACCAAAGCAATATTTCCTGTTCTTTTCAGTTCGGAACATTTGATCTATTTTTTCAAAAAATCATTCCTGCACTTGGCCCTAACTCCCTTAAAATTCACCTCACCTTAATTATTTTGGTTAATGTAACCTGATTCTCGTTTAGCTGAGTGGTGTTTTAAGTGAGAAAAAATAGGTCTACTATAGGAAGACATGTGTTCAGTACTGAAATAATCTGATTTTGGATATTACCTTAGGATGGAAATATGAAAGCAGGCAGACCCGTCTTCCAATGTAGGAAATACCAGTATTGAAATAATTGTGCTCTGTATCCGCTGTGGACAAAAACAAAGAAAAAAGTCATGACCCTCCACTGAGTAACTGGTGTGAGACCCCTGGCAACAGAGAAGGAGGGATCAGAAACTTATTTTACCTGTTTTTCACCATTCCGAGCCTATCTGCTGTGAGGGTGTTTTGGTCCCTGCTAAACCACTTTCTACTATTGCAGCTCATGTCCCTAAATCTTTCATGGGCTCCTGCCTCGCTTTTGTTTTTTACCAGGACTCATACTTAACTAAATCATCCATTCACTGTTATTGAATTCAGTCCTTCAGTGAACAGTGGTTAATCCACCGTACATTTTGTGCCAGGCACTGTACACGTTCTGTAAATGAAACAGAACCGGACCCTGCCACCCTAGAACTTACAGTATAGGGGAGGCATTCAGTTCAGTCGGCGATGGCTGTCAGGTGGTCACAGGTGCTTTTATGGGGACATACAGGACACTGCATGGGAGCACGTGAGGAAGGCGCTTGCCTCTGGTGTCAGGATGGGAGGAGTCTCCCTGAAATAAGAAGTGTTTACATCATCATTAGGAGGATGGGCTGCAGCTGGGCAGGCTAAGGGCATGGTGCCTGGGGAGAGAGTTCTAGACACAGTGCACAGATGTGCCAAGATGCAGAGGTGAGAGAGCTTGGCCCCCTGGGGCAAGGAGTGCCGATTGGCTGGACTTGAGTGTAGAGCACAGGAGAGGGGATGAGACTGCAGAGGTGACTGACCTCACACACTTGTCCTGCTGTCCCCATGTCCCCACGTCCCCACACAGAAAGAGTGTCACTGCCCTCCAGCTGGCCTCTGCAGAAGACCTTACTCTTCGCTTTGACTTTTGAATTCTTAATAATCCAACAGACCGTGCTGGACGACTGCTGGCCCCTGAGCTCTCGGTTGCTACCTCCATAATTGCTTCTTATGCATTCCTTAATGTCAGAGTTTAATTTAAGGGGCAAACCGAAGTCCTAGCCTTTCCTAGAGGTATCTCCCAGCCACTCGTCTCTTCTCCACCCCTTTGGTGCTTTGTTAGCTTCATGACTCCTGTTAACGTTCACCTTATACAGCCTTCAACTGTGACTGAACTGATTTTATTTTGTTTGCTTTGCCATCCCATATAGACTAAAATTATTTGAGGATAGGGCCAATATGTCACCCTTCTCCTGGGTCCCCACAAAAATTAGCAAGTCTTTGGCTGATAATGAAAATCCTTCATTCTCCCAAATCTCCAGGTAGAATTATAGGTCGTAAATTGCTGGCTAGCAACATATAGATGGATTTCTAGGAAGAAAAACACAGAGATTATTACGAAGGTGAATTGTCCTGGTATTTCATAGATTTATGAGCTGTTAGGACCAGAAAGGTCCTTGGAGATAATTTATCCAAATTTGCCCCTTTATGGTTGTGGACTCGTGGTCCCTGAGGGGTTAACGACTTGTTCAAGATTCCACTACCAGTTAGTGGTGAAACTGGGGGTTCCTCTTCTTTGATCCTTAGTCTAATTCTGAATTCCTTATTTGGGTGTTTAAAGAGTTTGTTTGATAATGTAGGCAAAAAGTAAATGCTCATGTAACTCCAATATTTAGAACCTTGTTTCAAGGAATAGTTTGGTGTCTTATTTTCTTAGCTCCCATACTGGGAAAAGGCACACGAACCAAGTTCTGTAGAACTTATAAAATATTTTTGTTTCTCTGAAAATAGTTGTTCTACTTTTGTTCTTCATTTCTATAACCGATTTCAAAATTACTGTTCTAAAATACTGACAAGCTGCTGACACAGAGCAATCAGGGAAAGTGAAGTTTAACAGAAGTGAAAGTAAAAACTGACTGCAGAATTCAAGAGACATGTAGAAGTTCTGCTTTTCGGAGAACAGCACAAATTCGTTTTCTCTCTAAGCATTGTCTTCAGTGGCCGTGAATCAAGCAGTTGTGTTGCCAAAATGCCTTGTCGTCCTTTGGGCTGACTGCTTTACCAAATTTTGTAATACTTTGAGGGGATTGTCTGTTTTATTTATTATGATCACATGAATTCTGTCATTTACATCACAAAGTTAAGTAAAGCCATAGCAATTTTCAATAGTAACCAAGAGTTTTAATTGCCTGGGGGATATATTGAATGGATATATGGAAGCTGGTCAGATTACAGTGACCTTTATATTAGTCCTGTGTCTGTCAGTAGGATACGGAGGGGGTGGAGGTCGACACAGAATCCTGACCATTTTACCACTTTGTGACCTTGAGGAGACTGCTAACCTTTCTCAGTGGGGGATCTTTTGGTGTAAAATGACACTAGGGATACCCCAATAGAATAGTTGTCAGGATTAAGAAAAATAATGTATTTGAGCAGTTGAAAAATTATAGAGCAGGTATTAACTGTAAATGGGCTATTTCTTAAGCCATTTTTTTTGTTAACTACCACATTTGGATGTTATAATTCCTGAGACCCTTCTTTTTTTTTTTTTTTTAAAGATTTTATTTATTTATTCATGAGAGACAGAGAGAGAGAGAGAGGCAGAGGGAGAAGCAGGCTCCCCGCTGAGCTGGGAGCCCGATGTGGGACTCGATCCCAGGACCCTGGGATCATGACCTGAGCCGAAGGCAGACGCTTCACCATCTGAGCCACCCAGGCGCCCTCCTGAGACCCTTCTTTCTCTGCACTGCCACAGTACTTTGCATTCTGCTACAGGATTTCTGACACATTGTTTCACTGCTGATTTTGAATACCTCTTCCAATATTCTCAGCCCCTCCAGGGCAATTCTTCCTTTCTCCTACTGTAGGTCTAGCACGACTTAAAAAAAAAAAAGTTTTTGAATGAATCAGTGGGTCAGACCCATATATTGTCTGGATCAGATCTAGAAGGAGCACAAAACTTTGAGAAAACAACACAAAAGGAGGTGAAAATCTTTCCATGTTTGATAGTCATTCTAAATTTTAAATGCATTACTTCTTCATTTCCTCTTGGACTTTGCAAACCTTCTGAGAAAGGTGGTCTGCTTTATTTATGCTTTAAATAAATTGTGAGAAGAACTCGAGCTTGAGATCATCACCTCTGCAGAATCTGACAAATGTAGATGCTGAGTTTGATGGTGACTCGAGATTCAAATCATAATAACATCACAGTTCTTGGTCACAAACCCTAAACATATGTCATGTTTTCTGTAGGCAAAATCCCAGACTTGTTACCTGAAGGTTCTGTAGATGGGGACACCAAGATGGTCCTGGTGAATGCTGTCTACTTCAAAGGAAAGTGGAAAACTCCATTTGAGAAGAAATTAAAGAGGCTTTATCCTTTCCGTGTGAACGCGGTATGAGACAACAAGATGGATTTTCCTAGCATGTATTTTAGGACCTTGGCCAAGACAGAAGAAGAAAAGTTAGAGACCACTCATGTTCCTGCATGACTTGTTAGTCATAAATTATGCACATTGGACAGTTGGTTGACTCCTTCAAGCTACTGAGTATCGCTCAGTAATTTTCTGAGAGGCCATATGAGTAATGGTGAAGACCATGGACTTTGTAATTACATAATTCTGGATGCAGTTGTAGGTTCTACCACTAAGGTTCTACTAGTAACCATCTATGACCTTATTTATCTTCTGGGAATTTCATTTTTTAATCAGTAAAACTTGGCTATTGTAAGGATTCAGTGAGATTTCACAGAGTTCTTGGCCCATGGCAGGTGCTGAACAAATATTCTCGTATTATTAAAATTATAATTGTTGTCCATCTTAATAATAGATGGAGTCATGATAAAGCTAATAAGAGCAACTGTAAGGTATAAATAATTTATTTTGTTGATTTTTAAGGACGTATTTCTTCAACACTAGAGCAGAATCTATTTCTCTTTTGTGTCTAATTGTAAATCTCCTGACATCTTAGTATCAACTTTCATATTTTACTTCTTAATAATTTTAGACTCAGCGCAAACCTGTACAGATGATGTACTTGCGTAAAGAGCTGAACATTGGGTACATAGGCGACCTAAAGACTCAGATTCTGGAACTCCCATATGCTGGAGGCGTCAGCATGTTCCTGTTGCTTCCAGATGAAATTGGTGATGTGTCCACTGGCTTGGAGTTG